ACAAGTAATTTATTTAGATTTAAAGAAGTGAGAACTCTTAGGGAGTGGGTTGGCGAGCAAACTATCGTATCGCACGAGATTCGTCACCGGTGGTAGTATATTCAAACCACTGTCCTCGCTAGCATTGATGGTTATGTGGTTTGGTTCCTCGAGTTGGTAGGCCCGCAGAGTCGTCGACGCGCCAGACGGTTAGGGCCGTACGCACTGTGGTGTAGGGCCACTTAGAGTGTGCGCACGGGCCGTCTGACACGGCAGACAGCTCTGCCGGGTTGAAGAGCCGCTGGTAGTTCAGCTGTAGTGCGCTGACCATGCATGGCAGGTAGTTGTAGTGAAGAAGATGAGTGTGAAGGTAAACGTGAAGATGAACCCTGCGAATCAAACGGCATATTTAAGCAGTTGCCAGCTTAACCGTTTGACTGCGACATCAAAATACTAGCGAAGCAGATGGAATGATTTTGGTAATAAATGGTGATGTAATGATGTGGCAGTCAAACAGAATTACAGTAGGTGCAGAGAAAGTGATTGCAAAGTGAAGTAGGCAAAATATTAAATTATGTAGATAGAAAATAATTTAGCATATCTATGTAGGCAATTAATTTATAGAACAATATAGGTAGGCAATAATTTAGAATAATTAGAACAGTAGAATAAGATTAGAATAGTATCGTATCGTATCGCAGTAGAATAAGATTAGAATAGTTCAATTTAGTAAATTAAATAGATTCTAGAAAGTGTCGTTACAGTACGACCAAGGTCATGTAAGGTCATGACTTGTCGATGTCACTTCGTAAAATCGATTCATTTCATATTTTATTATGTAATAAGATGTAAAATATTACGAGTAACAATTGTAGCAACAGTTAAAATTACGAAATGACATCGTCCAGATACACTGAGCACAATGATTGCACATTTTAAGAACAAAATGGCGGCTAGGTACTTACATTTAGCACAAGTATAAAATCTAGGCATTAAAATACTTTTGCAACACTCACCCGGTAGCGGGGTTCACCAATACGCGATTACATTTTAGTTTTTAGAACATTACGTAAATCGCGGGTCCGGCGGTGACGGACAGCGATACGTCCGTGCTCACTAACGCTCTGGCTCGGACTAGGAGACGCGGCGGGAGCATCGCGGCCGTAGGCGCGTCGCTTGCGCATGCATAAAAAACAGTCCGCCCGCTCGACAGAGAACAAAAGAAATCTCGAACGACTTGTTTCGCGCGGGTTTGCTTGTAGATTTTTTATTTTATTTATTTTATTAGTGTAGAACAATATGAATTATTTAACTAAGTTATTTAGTTAGGTAGTTTACGTAGATTTAGATATTTTATTATTTAAGTATATTTATTTAGGTAGGCAATAGTAATTAAATTAGAATTTAGATCTAAGATAAAGGTCAGCGGTAACGCTAACCGTTACATTCTAAGTGTTCTTTGCACGACAAATTGAATAATCAAAAATAATTGTAGACCCAGAACTCTTATAAGATGTAGAGATTTAAAAAAATGTGTGGGTATCTTTCAAAATTACTCTTAAAAAACTGAACGCGCACTTGAAAACTCAAGTGTTTTTCCAACTTTGAAATGACATTTTGGGTTTAATGCTAATCAGGTTAAATCTTATGCAATATTTTACGACCAAAATAATGTGTGACACTGGATGGAATGTTGCGTGTAAACAGGCAATCTTACGATGTGTTACAATGTAACGAGTCATCCACCTGATGATACTTTTAAAATTGCATTTTAGTCCTTTTAGCTTTTGATAACTTGTGAGGTCTATCTTATGGCTTTAGTAATTTTATCAATAGAGTAACTTACTCCTGCGGCTTCGTCCTCATTACCCCCGTTCATCCTCTTGAGAATTTTGAAAATCCTTTCTAAGCGGATGACTGCGTGTTAAATAACTATATTATGTACGCCAAATTTCAGTTCGTTTAGTATTTGGAGCTGTGTCTTGAACCTTGATAGATCAGTCAGTCAGCAACAGTTTCATTTATGATTGCGGGAAAAATTACTCCAACGCGCGACGCAGCTTTTGAACTGTTTCAAATTGACTCTACTGATCAATACAATAATTATTCCTACCACCCAAGTGGATGGGGTTTTTTTGTTTAAAATGTAAAAAGAAATGTTAACCTTATAAATATTATGATCTATAACTTCTTAATTTAATAGATCCTTACTATAAAACTATAACCCATAAACTTACAATATGAGGCTGAGTTGCACCGTCTTACTTTAACTTAACAAACGTTTTAATTCTGTCAAACTCCATACAAAAATCACCGGGTATTGTCTTAACTAACCCTAAACTTACAATAATACTTGTTAAGTTTGTCTACAATTTCCACAAAAGTTTAACCGTGTAAAACCCCACACGCATGACTTTACGATCGCTGCGTAGAACATTTATTCCTCACTCATTGAAACTGGAGGCACCCTGATATTTGCGTATCTTCTTATCAGTTCAATATCGCTCCCACACCCGAATCTTTACTGACGAATAAACAACTTAGGTAGTCTTTTAAGTAAGAGCCAAATCACACGATACGTTGTGGAGCTGTATCGCTAAGATTTCGCCGTATCGCACGCCGCCGCACCGCTCGTGTCACTGCTATAGATATTTTCTACAAAAAAATAATATTCCTTCGGAACAGAGCAACAACCACGAGCTGTCAAACGAAACCTATTTTGGATGATATTTGTGTGACAGTGTCAGGATTATTTCACTGTTTTGTACAATAAATTAATCACTGAACCACCACGTTTCTGAAGCACTATTTCTCGTAAACATTCACTATTTCACTCAAGTAAAATCTGAAAATTGCAATTGATTGCAATCAGCATGCCACTAAGTGCCTCTGAACTGTCAAATAGTTGCAAAAAATGTTTCTGTTTGACGTGACGGCGATGGCATTATGCATCTCTTTCTATCACACACTTTTGTTGCTAGTGACATCTCGTTCACTCAGTTATTTGTTGCTATATTCCGCTAGGTATATTAACTTTATGTATTTCTTTCTATGAAAGACGACGCAGTGACACCACTCCGGCTCGGTCGCACCGCTGCCGCAATGTATCGTGTGCTTTGGCTCTTTCTGCCGAATAAACAACTTGTCTTATAAGTTATGGTATCAATTTAAAAGATACGCTTTGCATGTGCAAAATGCAATCAGCAAACGATAAAAAGATTATTAAGGCTTCTCGCATACTTTGTGCTAAGTAATTGCCTTTTTATATCAAGATCGCTTGGAAGTGAATAAAAAAATTCAAATGGAAATAATTTGTTTACGATTTATTACGCTCAGGTCAATCTTGGCGAAATTTAAAAATGCTGGGTAAATAAAAAATACTACACTCGTATTGGTGCACTTTGCATTTTTCGTATTGACCGTTTATGTAAAATATTTTTAAATTCTTTATATGAGTTTAAAGTAAAAATACACACGATCCTCCTTCTCATTTGGAAGTTTAAATGCTATCACAAAATAAATGATACTACAGTTATTAATAAGACTCAAACGAGTATCTATTCAAATACAAAGTACTATCATTTATTTTAGATAGCAAATATCACTATGACCTAGCTAGATTAATGATATCGTATATCTGTTAATAGTGCTTGATAAAGATCTTACAGTACTAATGAGTTATGTAGAAAAATATCGGAGTGAGGTCAGTTTGCCAAATGTGACCGTGAAATTCTTTGATGTTATTTATTAATAAATAAATTATAACAATTTATTGCACAATAACATTTTAGAAATTCACGAGAAACGTCACTATGAAGCAGTTAAATTATCTATACTTATAATACATCTGTAGAGAGGTCAATTCTGTACATGAAATATATTTTCAAAATAACTATCAGGGGGTGATTAGTGATTGATACTGATGCCAAAAATGCAATCAGTAAAATTTTTGTCTGTCTGTCTGTCTGTCTGTCAATATGTTCCTTATAGAAACAAAAACTACTTGACGGATTTTAACGAAACTTGGTACAATTATTCTTCATACTCCTGGGCAGGTTATACTTAGGAATTCCCACGGGAACATCCTTTTTTATGAAAAATCTAAACCGCTTAAGTTAGACGCTTGTAATTTGGCATGCAGGTACCTTAGTAAACCTAAAGCTTAGGTACAACAGGATATTGCAAAATTCCTACGGGAACGGGAGTTATCGGGAAAAAACATTTGTATGAAAAAATCTAAACCGCGTAAGATAGATGAAGGGGGTAAAACGGGGTCCACGCGTACGAAGTCGCAGGCGGCCGCTAGTTACACATATGATAGTGTTTTTCAAGTGTTTTACCTACGTTTGATACCATATAATATTTTCATCTTTCATTCTAAGGCTGAGTTCCACCACCTTATTTTAACCGTGACTATAACCGTGACTGGTGTTTTTTGTATGAAGTTTGATAGACTATTGACGTTAGTTAAAGTTAAAGTAAGATGGTGCAACCCAGCCTAAGAAGCAAGTGATTGACCGCGGAATTTGTGAAATAATCTGGATTCGTCACTCTACAACCTACAGATTTTATATATTTTTTTGTTATTTCTATGTAACTATATTACACGAAATATAACAATATTATCGAGGATCGATTTTTCAACAGGATATTATTAAATAAAACTTTCATTGAAGCTTTCTTATTTTTAATTTTCTGGTGAATTATTTGTGATCCATTGATGTTAGTTAACAATTTACTCAATTTGTCATAGCATCAAAGCTGTGTAGCATTACTTTATATCTCCGATTTCATCGCATACATAAATAAATAACCAATTTGTTTTTTTTTATTTAACCTTTCTTAAGCTAATGCTAATAGAATAACTGTCAAGATGATCAATGCATTTAATCAATTTGTTCGTAACCGATCAGAGCTTTGCATATAAATATTACATTATTATTTAGGATTCAGCGAAAACATATTTTATGATTATTTAATAAATAAAACAAGTGAAGGTTTGAAACAATAATACGAATAAATCGTAGAAATACAACTTTATTATCACATTTCATAAATAAATATCTAAGTACGATCTAAGCGCTTAACCTAATGTATAAATTACAATTACCTAAACATTTTCAAAGGAAACTAGGTTGATCCTAGTATTGTTCAAATGTCAAATTATTATGTTTTGTTATGTCATCTATAATAAACAGTCGAGTGTAGGAATGGTTTGCGAAGCCTAGTTGAAATACTGATTCATGCTTAGATTATTGGGACAAAAAGGGAAGATACAGCATACTCAAACGAAGTCCTTCATCAGAGGTCACAATCGGTCTGACCTACCAAATACACGCGCGCAGAGCCGTCTTGTATGTTAAGAAAGTGTACGAACAATTCAAGTACTAACAACAATTTCCACGGCATCACTTTTCATTTATAAAATACAACTTTATTTCACTCACTGACACTGACATTCACCATGTTGTCAGGGCCATCTTCTTTCAAAGCAAATGAAAGCACATGCCGAATCTTCGCTTTTCGTTAAAATCTAAGGATTCATGAGAGTTGTGGAGTTGATGTTCATTCTACTTTCTTCAGCACCCATTTCCCGGAGTAGGGTGTTTCTATTCTTCGCTGGACCGGCCTGAAACCGTTCTCGTCGGCTGTGTAGTCCACCCTGTATAAGAAGCCGTCGGGGCCGATGTACTCGTAGAAGCCTTTCGAAGCAATGCCCTCATCCTCAGTGTTCGGGTTTTTGATGAAAGCTTTTTCTTCGGCGCGAATCTTGTTTTCAGTTTCGAAACTGTGGACAAGGAGAAAGATTTTAAGTATTTTTTCATGTCGTGCTACAATTGTTTCGGGGCGACTGAACGATGTTTCTGTTATAAAAAGAAGATTTCGATTTTCTGATATTTCTAAGACAATAATTTATGTGTTATCTTTTTTTTTTATTTATACTTGGAAGCGGGTAAAATTTTGTTTATTTATCTGTTGGTAATTCACACTGCTGAGAGAGTTTCCAAAAAGTTTTGTTTTTTAAATGTTCTTCTAATTCAGGAACCCATCCCCAAATATACTTTTAATTTCAAAATGCGTGTGCTTAATCAATAGAGAAATTAGTTTCAATAGCTAGCGGCTTCCACCAATCGTTTTTTTATGCATAATAAGGCAGATATTTGCAAGCCAAGCAAAGTCACGGTATCACGCTAGTCCTAAACTGCTTTGATTGTACCTGTAGGTACTCGCGGCTTTTCAAAGTTCACAGTTTTCGTGTAATAAATTAGTGTTTTAACAAATTCCATACAATAAATAACATTGGAGCATTGTGTTAACAGTGGCAGCTTATCTTATAATTTATGATGGGCCAAATGACATACGATGATGGGATGAATTAATAGTGATATTGTGCAAGAAATCCTTCATTTTGATGATTATTAAGCCTCTATAATAATGATTCAATTATACATTCCTACGCTGTTAGCCATTGTGTTAGTTATTCGATTATAATTATGTATAAAAGCCATTCGGAATTCTTTAGTAATTTCATTAATAATTTTACTATTCCGTGAACAAGGAAGTTCAATAAACTAGTTATGTTACGCGCATCATAGCAACATAAAAGATGCGTGAGTCACAGTGTTGCGATGTTAAATGTAAATATGGGTAAAGTTCTATCAATCACAGATATTAATATGAATCTTGGAATTCTCTAGAAAGAAAAGTATAGTTGAGATCTTAAGGTCTTGGATACTTGAATAAAGATCTTAAACTTTCGCATTCCATTTCAAGTAAAATAGAGAAACACGTGTCTCAAGTTGTGTTTTTCTTTTTTATTATCTTCTTTGGTGTCAGCTTAAGGTCTGGGGGCATAACCAAGCTTTTTTAAATTTATAAGCTGTCTACATACATATTATCAGACCAATAGCAAATCAAATTAATGTGCCCTCCAGAAGACGAAATCACATAAATGTTCATTGATTCAAGCTTGTAATGTCTTAATAACAAAATGACTTAACACTTTCTTGTCCCGCTAAATGAACACAGTTCAAACCGTTCAAACTTCAATCAGAACGGAAGTGGTGAGTATGTCTTCAAAACAAGATTTTAAATGATGACAGCACCATTATCTATTAAACCTCTTAAGTGTTGTTCCGCTTTTTTCAATGTGAAGATAGACGTAACAATCCAAACGGTGTGTCAACATATTATTACCGCTTTAAATGATTATAAATAGTTTTGAACTCTGACCCACGTGACGACTCGGTCAAGGCCCGCGGTATTTTGTTGCGAATGATCTGTATTATTCATACAAATGAAGGATGACCCTTGGAGTTATTTGTTGTAACAAATTCTCGCCTTCCTGTTATTATAGGCTTTCGTTTTGCAAAAATAAAAATAATATTACAGTACAAAAAAAAAATTTTTTATACACATTAGAATCATTTTAAAATTTGGATCGGCTTCGTTCTTTTAATTGTCTAATAGATCTTATTTGGATTCACTTTATTTTTAATTTTATTTTACTTTATATTTACTTCAAACTTTTAATTATGGTGACATTGTAAATCAAAAAGATTCCAACATGCAAATTAATACGATAAGAATGATAATTGTTGAGACAAGGTTGCCCGAAGTTGTATACGAGCCTCCATAAATTTCACAAATTACATAGCGACTATGTTAATTACATTATTTACATAGTTTGACGCTATTTTGTTCCATAAATCAATTTTCGTTAACTCATGGCTAATGTGATAACTATGCCAGTGTCACTTTACTAATCAAAGGACAATGTCATGTCATTTTTAGTGTAAACAAATAAGAAAATACCTTCTTCAAAAACCGGTTTTATTACATCATATAAATATGTAAGAGTATTGTTGTATTTATCCACGATATTCTTAGATGTCCATACTGCAATTTCTTACACGTATAACATAATTATGTTGATCATTGATCATTAATAATAAAAGAGATGAGGGTTGATTGAAGTCCGAAAAGCAACCTCAACTATGGTCCCGGATTCGAATCCCATGGGAGAATAAGTATGTTGAGTGTGAGCTTCTTGAAGTTAGTATCTAATAATAAAGTATGTTGTCCGTTATTTAGTCGACATAGTAAAAGCTCTACCACTTTGGGACGTAGTTATTTATCTGGTAGTTGAAAACTATTAATTTATTTATACCATAAGATTCAGTAACTTTTTAATATCTCGATTTTAGGTAAGGTAAGGTTAAAGTAAAATATCATGTAACGATTGTAGCAGTAGCATATGTGTGAACTTTCGAAATGCATGAATGAACTTTCGTTTGAATGTCACATACCTTATATTGTTTACTTGCTAATGACTGATAATTAATGTCCTAGCTTTATGTGTAAGCTCTATCACTTAAATCTCTATTATTTATGGTGCTTAATTAAGCTTACACATTACATTACATTTCAGAGGACGCTTTAATCGAAGCGGAGCTTTTCTATGAAAAAAGCTCTGATGGATAAAGCAATTACTAAATCAATAAAAATAACGATATTTTGAAATAATAAAACTGTGAAATGTTTTTTTTTTTTTCAAATTGGTCCTATTGGTTTTGAACTACTTTTTATGCAAGTAGATGTACAAAATTTACAATGCCCTACACCCTAAAATTTCAGTATCACTTAGGTGCACGATCCATTTATTAACTTTGTTCCGGACCGTAATTTGCTATTTAGCTGATGTTATTTTTTACTAAACCACAAAAGATGTCAGTGATAATAAAATAGCGGAAGACGTGTAAGAAATCGTGATTTTTTACACCTCCCATTGAACTTATTCTTCCGAGGCCGCGTCTGACAAATGCTTTTAGCGCTACATAATAGTCGCATTTCTAAGGTGCTAATGACAGATACTTATGATGCGCCAAATATTTGACCAGCTTTCGACTGTTGTCTTAAGTTTTATCGAGAAGTTTTATTGCTGTATATTGAATGAAACATTATTTTTGACACTTTGAATCTGTATTTTACTAATAATATAAAGCTGAAGAGTTCGTTTGCTTGAACGCGCTCATATCAGGAATTACTGGTGAAAAAATATATTTGTTTTGGATAGCCCATTTATCAAGGAAGGCTAGGCTATGAATGTCACCCTATAAATTGCATTAACATTTTAGTTTGTAATTTTACTTGTCTGTTTGTTAACCAATATGAATTTATTTGAAAACGAGGATCTAATTTTTATACCACTTACTTAAAATTTTGATAATTTTGTTGTTTAAATTTTGACCCTAAGCAAATATTATTGACTAGTACACATTAAACAAATATTGCTACAATATGCAAAAAATCTCCCTGGAAAAATATTTACGCGTGTGAAGATGCGGTTGCGGAGCTAGTTTTTAATGAGCCCTTTATATTCAATGTTTTCCTTGTATATGCAGTTTTTTAACGCATTCCTAAGTTTAGGTCATAAAATGTGCTATGTGCATTTGACTTAAAAAAGTGTGATGACAATTTATTACCTTGTCCCAAACTTTCCGACTAATATAATTACGTCACTTTTCAACTTTAGGAAATTGTGTACGTTAAAATTACATGTTTATCGGCAGCAAATGCCGCTATATCCGCAATAACATTTTTGCATTATGATTAATTTTTATTTAATGACATATTAGACTTGTAATAATGTAACAATAAGCTGACTGAAAAGGCAATGAACTTTGTAAGGGGATTATTTTCTTAAGTAAAGATAAATTCATATTTAAAACTTTGTTCACAATAGCCTGTTTGATCATGTCAAGATTTTTCGAACGCGTTATATTGGGAGTCTTCCGATCAAGCGCGATAGAGTTTTTGTTAGATCCAAATCTAAAGAGACAAAGTCGCAAGCAGATGTTATGTTTATAGTAACCGCCTCTGTGGTCTAGTGGAAAGACCAACTTTCTCAGACCTAAAGTCTCGGGTTAGATTTCCAGGTGGGAGAAAAACATAAGTAAGTAATATGATAATTATTAATCCGCCCTATCTCAGCCATGGCGACCTTTTCGACTCCTGTCTTGAAGGCGCTCTTGCATTCGGATGCAAGATGATAAAGATGGCTCACGTAGCCCATCGTCGTGTCAAACCCCCTCGCATATTGAGGGTTTATTGACATAAATAAATAATTGTTTACTTACTCGAAGTCGTATTTATCCTCCTCATAATTATGCTTCTGCCTGATAATCTTGATCCCGTTATTCCTGTAGTACCCATCCTTGTAGTAAGGTAACAGCTCGTCAGGAGGGGTCAAGACATGCTGGTATCTGTCCACAGTCGCTTCTCCTACGTAGGGCTCGTAGTCGTGGCTGTAGGGCCCGTAGCCGCCGTCGTAGGGGTTGTTGATGTGAATGTAAGGGTTCGGTATGTGGATATACTTTCCTTCGTCGGTTGGGATGTACCTGGAAGAAGGAGACGGTAATGGTTAAGACAATGATATTCTTCTATTAGCATATTTTTTAGGTCTGGCAGACTGGATGCAGGCCGCTACCAACCATGCGATGTGGAAATCATTGGGGGAGGCCTATGTTCAGCAGTGGACGTCCTGTGGATGAAATGATGGTGATGAATTGATGATAATTAGGTCGTAGAAAACTATAGGTATTAGGTAAGGTAAAGATCAGTGTAGGTAAGTGCAGAAAAGGTGAGCTTACACTTCAATTTCTGAGCCCTTGAAACTTTTCATTGTCAAGGACAACATGACCTTGGTTTGTGTTTATGATTAAGCACCAGCTCTTGTTTGCGGATTTGATGTGAAAAAGGGTGATGTGATGAGCACGAGCAATGAGCATTTTTAACGTTTTTAATAAGGTTAGTAAGTATAGATATTTGTTACTCTTATATTTATAATATCTTTCCTTCTATGTATGTTTAGCTGTCTTTATTGTCTTTTGGTTTTTAAATATGTATGTCTCTATAGTTTATGGATTTTTAATGTCTGAAATAAAACATTATTTAATTTCATTTCATATATTTATCATATCGCTAAATATTTTCATTTTTTATTTATTTTATGACTAGGAAGTTCAAGTGATGTGAAAATTTAAATATTGTTTTGATGTTTACGAATTTTTTATGTTCTTTTGTCAACTTAATTTGGATAAAACAAAGGTGATCGACTTTTGCATATTCAAACAGCGGAATGCCGTTAGCATTTAGTTAGACAAACAGATTTTCAGACCGTGAATTATGTTGAATGTATCAACTAGTTGGCATTTACTCACTTGCCGTCGTCCCCATATTTGTACGGATGCCATTTGCCGTCTTCTAGTGGTGATCCCGCTACCGTGAGTATGCATACTGCGATTGTGCACTGTGAAAACGGGATACATGACTTTAAAATATTGGTAAAAAATAAATTTAGTTTCGAGAAAATAGGTGCAAGTATGAACACAACACTAGTGTGTTATTTTAACATTTATTTTTATTGAAATAAAAATTATGATTTTATTAAAAAAATAAATAATAAACAAATCATTTTAAGTTAAAAGGAAAACAAGTAATCTGAAAATTATATTAGGTGAAAAAATAAACTTTTTTTGGGAAAAAATAATTTTCAAAAATATTTTTAAATAAATTAATGTTTTTGCAAAAATGTTAATAAAATCAAAAAAGACTACTGAAATTAAAAAAAAACGGATGCAACTCACAAGGACAGCTTCAGTCGAATACATCCTGTGCACTTTTTCGGGAATTTTTCTATAAAAAAAATCACAAACGTTACAAATCCAGGCACTTCACTGTATGCAACCGATCGCGACCACAATGCGGAAACCGTTCACGGCCGCGGTTGTACACTCCTTAGAGAATTTCAAATCGTTGTGTTGATTTCGAAATAAGCGCTTCTCTTTTATACATTTGCAACATCAACTCTACTGTCCGGAGCGTGCGTCATACACGCATACTAACAAGCGCACGCATTTTAACAGAATACACTTGGATTTATTTTATTGGGGTATTGGTGTCATATCGGAATTATCGCAAGTGCTTTCATGATCGTGTCTTACTGGATTTATTGTAAGTCATTTGTACGGTCAAGATGACATGTAGGTACATCAAATAGAAAGACTTGCAAGAAATGGAAATGTTGGAAAGCTTGTACTAATTTTACAGATTCAATTGTAACATTTATACCTTGGAGATTAAGATAGTGTTTTTGTGCTTGAGGATTCTTGGTGAAGCTCTCTTCCACCTTCGCCTGATCATGACTTCCCATTAGGTGAGATGCAGGTCACGAGCTTTTCTGCTGTGGCTGAAAAAAAAAAGTTGCTGGTGTTAAGAAGACTGCCTATTTAGGTTGAGTTTTGCTAGCTCATTAAACATAATTCACATGTATTTATAAGAATTTATATATAATTTAAATACAATTAATTATATCCTAGATAACACTCAGATACTAATCTAATACCGACTTAGTATACCTATTTGTCTAAGCTAAAAAAGTTGTTTATGACTTATTGCACTACATTAGGCTATTGACCCCTTACGAATATGTTCCTTCACAAATATGTTTTAAAATACCTCTTCGAAACATAAACTTGAAAATTACAGGAAAAAGTTTCATGCTTTACATTTCATAATTTGAAACGAAAGATATTTCTGCATAAGAACATGGTGTAAAAGTATAAATGACAATTGAGATGTATTTTTATTGTGATTACATGGTAATATTATCTTTAAATACGCATAAAGTGATAGTGGAATTGCAATGCTTGTATGCAGATGCACTTTACCTCGGTTTGAATGAAGTTTTTGTTCGGTACGGTGCCTTATCCGGCAGTGTAACCTTAACATATCAAAATAAAAGTATCTCTTTTTATTTTATTGGCGCAGAAAGGCTTTTTTTACGTTGCTTGACAGAAAATTGCTCTGGTACATTGATCCCTTGTGTTTTAAATTTCATTAAATCTAGGTTTTCAGACTCGAGCTGTGAAAGTTATTTACATCTAAGAATATTTTATTATTAGGCGATATACAGATACGGCATGCTTTTCATGACATTTAGCGCAGATAAAGACTAGTCAATAAACTAGTCTAGTCCATATTGACTAGCTTTTCCATAAGAGATTCGAACCTGCAACCGCGTCTATTGTAATCCAGTACGTGAACTAGTTTAAGCAGAAGTAACTGAGCCAAAACAGCCTAAGAACAAGATCTACATCTTTTTTCAGTCAGACACGGCTAGCTATCATCTTAAGATCGTCAGTGCATTGAGCTGGGGGACGTTCTGCGCTACGCAAACCACCTCACCTACCCCTACTCGTCTCATATTATAACAATCCTACTAATATTATAAATGCGAAAGTTTGGATGTCTGGATGTTTGTTACTCTTTCACGCAAAAACTATTGAACGGATTTTGATGAAACTTTACAGTATTATTTTTTATAACCCAGAATAACATATAGGCTATAATTTAAGACGATCTATAACAAATGAAATTTCACGCGGGTGAAGCCGCGGGCAAAAGCTAGTATAAAGACTAAAAAGCATCTGGAATGCAATCAGACGTAGCTTTTCACATAAAAAATTGCTAGTATGTGTATTTTGTGTTAATTACAAGGACTCCTATAAACACGGTAGAACGTGGAAGACATACCCACAGATTTATTTCCGATAAAGGTAACAAAACCTTATCGATTCAACATACCTTAACATATTTTCTTTTCATTTGTAGAAGAAATAGATAAATTGAACTGATCCCTGAGTCCGAGGAAATATGTTTATTTAGGATAGGAACCATTCGAATTGCATGTTTTCGAAGCGGTTTTCTTATTACCAACGTTGGAAACTGGGATTTTCCTTTCAAAAGTTTTATTCAGTAGATAATATTTTATTGGTCTCACTTAGTACTCACTCTTTACTTTAGACATCTGGGTCTAATTAATCATCATCATCATCATTTCAGCCATAGGATGTCCACTGCTGAACACAGGCCTTCCCCAATGATTTCCATAATGACTGGTTGGTACACGCCTGCATCCAGCGCCTTCAAGCTACCTTTTATGAGGTCGTAGGTCCACATAAATTAATTAATCATCAATACAATACATATCGCAGAAACACAGGTATTTCGTAGTTTTTCTTCCATTTCAAACGACAAAGGTAAAGTTCACAATTATTATTGATACGCTTCTGTTTGGTTCAACTAATCAGTTTCAGCTTCATTTGAAAAGGTCGTCCTCGATGAAAATAAAGATTAACATAGAAATAAAGAACACAACAATTATTTATTATCTAGTTATCTCGCAATAGGAATTTATGGACCACTGTGACGAAATTAATTCATCTAATTGTTTTCTTGTAATCAATTCATAGATGCAAAAAATACTACGGGTACTTGTGTTAAAATATTTGATTAATGCATGTAAGTTGAAATAATATTCCCATACAAAATGTATAGAGAGAAGACATCTCGGTTAAGCGTCTTTGAAAAAGTATGTCAATTGACTTGAGGTGTCATGTAGCCTATTAATTGTAGTGGCGTTAAGTCTAACTATTACTATAAAAACAAAATATGAATGTTTGTTGCTTTGGTAAAAGTTAAATAATAAAAACATGTTTCATAATTTTGTAGGGTTTTAAAAAGTCTCTTTTAGTGCCCCAGTGTAATTTGAACCCTACTACAGCGTAGAAGTCTTCTCCCTGAAAAACCTGGAACTTCTATCTGGAAAATGGTATTTTTTTATGAACAGTTTAGTTCTGTCAGTACCTATAAAACTGCTGTCTGTTGAAGCTTGCAATATTATTGCTATGATTAGCAGAAAATCATGCAAGTGAAGTCGTAGGTAAAAGCTAGTTTATCCACAATAATTTCACATAATCTGCATGGGTTTACCCATGTTGTTATACATTGATGACTGATTGGGCCAACCCATGCATTTCGTGTAGAATGTTGGTCTAGTCTAAAATACTTTCTTTCTTATGGAATGCGTTAGAGATTAATCACTGACTTTTTGTTTAATGAATTAATTAAAAATTATCTCCCGCTGACAGTTTTATTTGTTAAGCAAATATCGAAGTTATGACTTAGCAGTACGGTTGGTTTTACAAATGAAATATTCCTGATAGTTTTCATTTAATTAAATAGGTACATGTTATTTTTTCAGTCAACAATTTGTCAACTAGCATTATTTTTATTTTTTTTTATTGGTGAACTGGTTTAACGAAATATCAATGTAATTTTTAAAGAATCTTCATTTTACTTCAACCAAATAAGCTGCTTTGAATAAAAATATTAGTATCCCATAACATTGCTTATTTACCATTTAAATAGTTTGGCGGTTTATTTGTTTATAGAGTTAACATTATTAAAAACTCGTTAATTTGACTTTAATGTACATTTAAATAAAGAGGTTCTGTCGATCACTAACGCGCATAAATTACTTAAAATTGACAATAACGTTTTGTTAAGCATTAACCAATCAACTGATGTTTCTATTCTTGTTTAATAATAGATTACTAATTAGATTATTAACCCTCAATTTGCATGGTAGGTCCCAGGGACTCCATGTGAAACTGTTTTGGTTCATAATTTTTTTCAATACGCGAATAAAGTGCTGTGCGCTTGAGTAGCTTCCTTTGGTGTCGTGGCCAACTCGGGGGCGAGAGGTCGTCTGCGTGCGCATCACAGAAAGTTGAGTAATTGACACTTGCGGAGTCCCGTGGACTCCACCATACACTTTGCGTAACATAAATTTTTATTATGATATTATTATTATTTTTTTAATTATGATTTATTTACGGTTTGAGTAGACCAAAAAAGCATCAAACAGTCATAATACATGATTTATCAATACGTTAGATGGAAATGAGGCCTCAGATATGAAGGACTGGCAAGAAAGTCTAGAAGAAAATGCAGACGATGAAGAAAAAGAAGAGGATTTTACATCTTACGTCCCGAAAGATTTGTTTTGATGATTTTGTATTTTGATGATGTGTTTTGATGAATTACAAGAAAGACTGCTTATTTTGAAATTCATTTCACAAAAATATGCTTGTATTGTTCGAAAAAGTTTGGCTGGCAATGTTCTGCTCGTAGTAGTTACTAAGCCATTGCACGTTTTTTCGTGTTAATTTTTTTCTAACATTTTACATATTATTTATCAAGAAAACTGTTATGTCCACATAATTTAGAGAGAAAAAAAATTTTGGTTAATTTTTTTTCTAAGTTTAAGAGGTACAAAATGCCTATGTCGATTTTTATGTGATTTTTACGACTTCATGAAAATGTTATTTTTTAAATGAATTTTAATTAATGTTTCCATTTCTGTTGTTTCTAATTAATAGTATATTAACCATATTATGTTACCAAATAAAAAATATATTACTTTTATAAGTATTAGTATATTTTTTCTTCATTTGAAATATGGAGTCCCTGGGTCTCCACCTTACACTTAACGTAAGTTTTAGTCACCATGCAAACTGAGGGTTAATAGTATCACTACGCAAAAAACTTCGGGGGTCACCTGATTCCGCATTAAAACAGCTTTATTATGATAAACAAACAAATTGATCTTACGCATGTTTTTTATAAGAATATCATATTAAAATTCTTATTTTTTCCGTGGATTCCTATGATTATTTGTCACAACATTCTTAGTATTTTCGTGTTTCACATTTTTGTGTAAATTCTTTGACGCAAAACAACGCCTAGGCGCCGTCTGTCCCGGCCGCTTACCGCATAAACATAGTGATTTTAATGAGACACCTTACGGAAAATGATAATGAATTTGTATTACATCCTTTTAGTCGTAATGTCGTATTAATGTATGCATTCAGTTCTATTTATACTAATTACATAATGTTCTTAGA